ATAAAAATGTGACCCTCATTCTAAAATTCTGTAAAAATAACATCTAATCTCTTTATTATACACTGAGAGCAGGGGAAGACTGGCTATATGGACATTTGGCCAAATGCTTGGTAAGTCGGCACCCAAAAGGGTCTCTATTAAAGAATAAGGTGGCGCTAACCAATACTATTATGCAATGGAAATTCGAGTTACATACAGCGCACGCCGCATAAAGGTCATCAACATAACAACATACACTAGTCAGGTAATTTTGATCATTCTGACACAAGGCAGCCGAGAAGAATCGCGTGAGCGAAAACGCTTTGAATGTCTTCCTCAAAACGTTTTAAATTGATATTGTCGATTGAGGCCACTCGCGAAAAAAGGTTGAAATTGTAAAGCTCCTTTTGACATAATGAGCCGACATCTGTTACTTCCAACAGTTTATTGTTTTAAAACAATTTAGTTAGATAAAGGAGTAATTATAAATTTCCGCAATATTAACTGGAAACATTATTATTATCGGTGGTAGGTGTGCAACAAGACTGTATGAGTTAAGAATCTATTCACAAATAGAAATGGTGTTGGCAATGCACAGGAATTAGATTTTAATTTATTAAGCTTTCTCAATTATGTAACTAGCTAGATTAATAAAAGGCTAGAAACTTGTGTATTTAATTTTTTATTTTTTAAATGAACTTACATGTTGCATGATGTTAGCGTTTTGTCTTAAAATTTGTATTTTTGTATTTTGTTTTACAAAAACCTAACGCTAGGTTTTAATGGGACAAATCTTATCTACTTTAACTGGATCTGGGTTTACTAATGATGCAGAGTTTGTTAAAGAGGTGCATTATTTTATCAGATGTTGTGAAGTCTGCGTGCTATTGTACACACGAGTAGGTATCGCACTGAAAAAAGAAATAGCTACGTAATCGTGTGAAAAAAAACTTTAAAGCAGTTTAGTTGTATTTGAATATTATTTTAAAGTAATTGTCCACTTTGTTATATTTTATTATTGTCAATTAATAATTTATTCATTTCCCTTTTCTCTAACTATTTCTTTTCGATTTCTTACTGAATCTAATTCAAAACTTGTCCACTTTTTCTCTCTCTTTCACCAACTGGAGTCACCCCCACACTCCATTCTTAATCAAAATCAGCTTATCTGAACTCATGGAACGCATTTTGCTGATGGGGAGTAGGGAAGGGGGGGCTTGAGGATGCTGTTTTTTTAATTAGATGCCGAAATTGGTTGTATTTGCAATTTAGTTAAGGCCTATATATTCATATAAAATATTGATTACGTAAGCTGTTCTTCAAAAGGCATTTTAAAATTACAAATTTGAATATATATCCACCAAACCCATTATAATTGTTTAGCGCGCGTTCGAACGTTCGAATCGAACCATTGCTCCTTTGACGTCTTCTGCTGACCAAAACAGGCGTCTCGTATAGCATAAAGATTAAGATAATCTTACGATGACCATAATCTTAGATGACTATGTCAAGTAAAGACATACGCCACAAATGCCTCGATTGCCACTCACACCTCGGTATCGATCTGTACCCCTACTTTATTTTACTTAATTTGATTTGCCTTTTTTTTAAATGGATGGATGTTGAGCTGTAGACGTCAGGAGAACGAGCTGTGCCTCTAAAGATACAAGGCTCCCCAAGCTGTCCAAGAGGTGGTGCACCGGCGTATTTATTTTCGGCCGAAGGTTGTGAAACAATGCTCTAAATCAGTGGTTCCCCAAACTTTTTCCTTAACTGGACACTTCGCACATTCTGAGTATTTAGCGGAACACTTTGCTTTTTTTTAGAGTCAATTCACGTGGTGGCCTACTAGTTAATTATTCCAGTACTCCGTGGACTACCCAAACAATCATCGTGGAACACTGTCACTAGGGTTCGGTGGAACACAGTTTGGGAAACACTGCTTGATATATATAATATTCTAAAATTACGTTGCAAATATTCTTCATATATCTTGGCTTAAGAAGATCTAGTTTCTTTAATTTTAGATTGCGTAAGCTTAGACTTAGTGCAGAATAAGTACTTCAAACAATTTTAAGCCATTCAATCTGTGTGTACGTCTGAGATTACCTTACGATAAGTAGATCTTGGATGCCAACTTATAAACACATAAACCATTTAGAAGCACTTACATGTATTAAAGACGAAAATAAAATCAAATTCTAAAACCCTGAGATCACCAATGAAGTATGATAGAAAGTCGGAGTCCTCTGTGCGCGCGGTCTCTACTAGATCTAGACTATAAAACGCTGAACTAAATGTTGCTGATGATCGAAGGCGACATGGGCGTCACTTCTCCCTCTTCTTATCTACTTTGTGGAGCTTCCCTTGGGATGTTATACACCACCATGGCCACCTTGTTTTTTTTCCTCCCATGTCGTCCATGGTGTGCTTGGTGGTCCTTGTTCAACTGCAGTGCATTTAAAGCTTAGGGGAAAACACGGAACTCAAGGAGTTTTTGTTGTTGTGGTCCAATGTTTGTAGAGGTGCGCTGCAAGGCTGTGTGCTAGATTGGGGGAATTCCCAAAGTTGTAAGAACAGTTGCTTTTGAGGAGAAATAGATCTGGTGATCAGAAGCTTTGCTTCGAGTCCAAACGGCAGAGTGTAGTATTGTATGTAGGCATACTTGGCTGTGACCTACACATTGTATTTTCACTCCTTGTTTCTTAGTGACTTTTTCATATATATTTGTACTAGAGTAAAACGTTGGCTTGTTATTTTTCAATTAAAAAACCCATAGGCAATGTAAATCACTTGAAGAAAAATTAGAATTTCAAATTGCACAGATTTATTGTTGTTGGTCTAGATCTATTACAAGTTTAATTATATGACTGATCTAAACTAATTGATGCAATTACTCAGCGGTGGCTGAGTTGTTAAACGCTTGGCTTCCGACATGGGATTCTGGGTTCGAATCTAAGTGAAGACTAGGCATTTTGAATTTCGGTATTTTTAGGGCGCCCCTGATTCCACCCAACTCTAATGGGTACCTGACTTAATTTGGGAAAGCAAAGGCGTCTTGTCGTTGTGCTGGCCACATGACGCCTTGCTCGTTTACCGTTGTCTAAAGAAAAAGAAGACCTTAACATCACCTGCATTTTGGAGGCATGGTCTAAAAGGGTAACTTTTTACTCTTAATAAAAGCTTTGTAGTGTTTTTTTTAAAAGTATTTTTCTCGTTTAATAATACAATAAACAGCAAAGAGATCTAGAGAAGAGAATCACAAAAGCGCAGATGGTGACTCAGCCAAACACGTTGCAGTGTGTTCTCATTCGGTTGCGAGAGTGAAATGGCAAGATGTTGGGTCACAGATTAACATGTCTATATTTAAATAGACGGTTTGACGACATGTAAAGGGCTCGTCTTCTAGCTACTCGGTTTGTTGAGCTGGAGGTTAGGCTGAATGTTGGATTTAAGGGAGGGATAAGGTAGACATTGTGTTTTGGGGGAAAGAGAGAGAGAGAGGAGAGAAAGAGGGAAAAAGCGAGTTGTTAGCTTCAAACTTTAAAGCGGCGAGCGACAAAGCATAAAGGGGGCTAATTCAACTTATACCACCACATCAGTCCTGTACAAATTCTTTTCCTCATTCGAGATGCCAAACAAAATAATTAATTACCAATAATTAATGAAATAATTGGTTTATGTAAAAAAAAAAAGATTCTTGTTTAGTCAGATACAAAGAATATCTGCAAAATTTCAGTTTGATCCGAAATTGGGTGTGGGAGAGAAATAACGTCAGCATGGTTGTTACCAGACAAACAGCTGAGATGAAAATATGAAAGAAAAGTACAGTGAAGAAAGACAGTTTTTGCTGTAGTAGTTGTAGTTGTTGTTTGCCTAGCAACAAAGCAACATTCGAATGAAAACATTTTTTTTTTATCTCCGAATGTTCAAGACGCCCATAAAAAAACATTGTAACTTTATCACACATACACCTACTAATGCACACACACTAACACCATTTTTGTTTTGTAAAGTTAATAATTTTATATAACGGAACATTTTTTTCTTGACACTTCCAATCCAAGTAAATAATAAATACACAGCGTTTCGAGGCATTGGCAAAGTTTTCTGAACGCACACACACACACACACATACATACACACAATGGAGTGTCATCATGATAGTCTACAGTTCTAACCCTATCCACCGTTAACCCTTTCTGCCCTGCAGGAGGTTTAGGTCTAGGACATAATAAAAACGATCGTTCCAGCATATTGTTACTAGTCAGTAACCTTTGAGTAACTTTCAAGTCTTTGATCTTCTTAGCTTGTAAAAAGTTCACAGCTTTAACATTGTCGAGGACGTTTTTTCAATGTGTCGATATCTAATAAACAAACTTGGACAATTACATATTCTTATATCAGATTATCTTAGCGTCACCAGGCGTTCGGCTAAAGGAGGGCAAGTCATTCTGTTGAGGGTCACACTCTTCGTCCGGCAGTCATTGGCCTTTAACTCTTTCAGTGCGAATAATTTGATAGAAAAAATGAATTCGCTGAGCGTAACGCCGCACTGAAAGAGTTAAGGTGTGAAAATGCCAGTTTTTCACAATGTTACCTACCACAATGGTGCATGTAACCAAACGAATAAGATCTTTTCTTTCTTGAAGTATAAACACAGTATACATAATAATGAGATATTGTCGTGCAAGCAATAAATAATATAGTGCGAAATCCATGTAAGTGCTCAGCAGCAAACATGTGGTTGTAAAGTGTTTTTTTTTAGATACCTTTTTTTTTTTCCTTCTTTGCATGGCTATGTCCTTTGTTTTCTTTTGTATGGCTTTGTTATCCATTGTATGGCTTTGTTATCCATTGTATGGCTTTGTTATCCATTGTATGGCTTTGTTATCCATTGTATGGCTTTGTTATCCATTGTATGGCTTTGTTATCCATTGTATGGCTTTCATTGTATGGCTTTGTTATCCTTCGTATGGCTTTGTGATCCTTCGTATGGCTTTGTTATCCATTGTATGGCTTTGTTATCCTTTGTATGACTTTGTCTTCCTTTGTATGACTTTGTCCTCATTTGTATGACTTTGTCCTCCTTTGTATGGCTTTGTTTTTCTTTGTATGGCTTTGTTTTTCTTTGTAAGGCTTTGTCCTCCTTGGTATGAATTTGTTTTTCTTTGTATGGCTTTGTCTTCCTTTGTATGGCTTTGTCCTCCTTTGTATGGCTTTGTCCTCCTTGAAACGATATTGACAGTGACGAAAAAAGCTCTCCACAAAGACAAAGACACAAATTTTGTACACGTTTAAAAAAAATGGATTGCATTAATCACAAACATCAAAACATGACTTAGGATAGGAGGTTTAGATAATAAACAAATAATATAAAATCTTCCAAAATTACGACTCGCTCACACGCGACATAAAAATGGTTATGTCTGTGCTGGATGTGGCAAAGTAGTCGCAGCTGAGGCTGCGTAGCCATGGGGAACACTGCATTCCTCATTAATCTTTGGACTCGACGATAAGCATTATTATTATTATTTAACAGAGCATAATTGAAAACATGAAAGAAATAATTTATCTGTAAGTATAACAAAACAACTATGCGATGAAAGAACAAGGAACAATGACATGTCTCATGTGCTCAATTACCTCTTAACAATCCTTTACTTCCATAAGTTCTACTAATATTTACCAAACTATAAGATAGTACTTCTCACATGTTTAATTAAATATTACATATTTTAAAATAGTTTATGTTCAAAGCTATAAACGTATTAAATTAAATCTACATGATTCTTCAACTGTCTAACGAAATATGAGATATAGAATGGAACGTGGATTATATAGGGCAGTGCACCGATTCATTTGACAACGAGTGCCGTCTTTCCAGAGTAGTCCAAAATGTTGAGTTTCCAGAACTTTCTTTTACTTTTTTAAATCTATTTTTCTGGAGATTAAAATCATTTGGTAGACTCCGAAACTTCGAGAGACTCCACCAACATTACACATATGTATTAAAAGATAAACAGCCGCGAGAGTTTAGCATCAGAGTTTTATCAAAGTGTCGTACACAGCAACAGTGCCAGATTTAAATACCTGGATGTCTTGACCGGCTGTAAGTCCGGCTTACTTAACACATAAAAAAATTAACCTCATGCATACTCAAAATTTCTTTGTAAATGTTTTTGCAGAAAAACACATTCTGCAATCTGACAGTTCATTCATAATGTACAACATTGACACATATGGAAATGATATATTTACGTTAAGAATAAATAGGACTATAAGAATTGCTGTCTTTATAATTTCCTTGAAACATTCCAAAAAATATATCCCATCAAAATAATGTTGTTGTTTTTTTGTTTGTTGTCCTATTGAAAGAATGTAGCATGTAGCACCGTGCAACTGAAGAATGACTTCACAGAATCCGATATAGTGTGAATACATCATGACTTTATGATGAAAACAGGATGTTCCGTGTATGAATATAGCCATCATTCTGGCTTTAAGTCTAGCATTCGGTTTATTCTGTGAATATACCAGAGAGGTGTCCTTTAAAATCTCGTATTAGTTTGTGCATGTATGAAGGTAACTTGCTCTAAGCCTCGAATTCCGTGTTTAGTTTGTCGGCCAATTCATCCGGAGGGCGCAATTCGACCTGGAAGTTGTGGGACTTGCCATCTGCGCTGAGTTGCTTGGCGTATATGTTGAACGCGGCACCCAGGGAGACCGCTAACTTTCGGCAGCTGTGAGCGGAATCGCAGAGGAAGGCGTGACACGTGGCCACCCTTGACCTCGAGGACAGCTCCCTGACCACAATGCAAGTGAAGACTCTCCAGTACTTAATGTCCTGCACTCCATAGGAGATGAAGTCGATGGGGATAAGTCCCATTGGCGCCACGCCCTTGACAGTGTTATTCGTATGCTCACGGACGTCGATACCCTTGGCGCCAATTACGACATAGACCAGAGGAAGTTCGAGCTGAAAGTAAAAATTTTTTAAATTTAATTTAAATAATGTACCATTAAATCTGTTAGTTTACCAATAGAATTATCTCGTCTGTTCTATGGTCAGTAGTTATTTTAAAACACTTTTTATCATACATATGTCTTGTACTTTCTTTTAATTGTGTAGTCTTTTAATTGTGTAGTCTTTTAATTGTGTAGACATCTTCTGTTGATTTTTTTTTGGTTGTAATTTAGATTTTTGTATAAGTAATGTATCTAAACATTGTTACATATCTTTTAATGAGGCTACATGTAAGGTCATAATCGTTGACAAATACAGTGAATTAGGTCTAAATTTTAACATCATTTGTTTTTTGGATGAATCCAAGGGGAGATAATGTGTAACACGACGAGAGTGAGATATATTTTTTGGATTCGATATGTGATAAGGACTAAGAAGAATAACAACTATAACAAAAAAAAAGATTACTTAAAATAAAGCTTAATTAAAGAGAAAAAAATACCGCTGAATACTGCCATCTATTTGAAAATGCAGGGTTTTAACTCCCTTTCTGCTACATAAAACACAATTAATTAATTACTACTAATTCATTAACTAATTGGTTAATTTTTGTATTGATTCATGTACCGTCATCGATTAGGAATATTTATGCAAAATCTCAACTTGACCCGAGTGGGAGAAAACAATGTGTCAAAACGTATTAAGGGAATTAAATCCAAATATACATCCACATGTCTCATTTAGTTTCATTTATTCCCCTTAGTTCAATATAAAAAAAAAAAAAAAAAAAAAATCAACAATAATTAATTAACTAATTTTAATTTGTAAAATTGATTCATGTCTTGTCAGGTACAATGAATCATTTTGCAAAATTTTAACTTGATCTGAGAATGGGGATTAGGAGAAAAAAAATGTTTAAACTTTTTACCAGACAGACAGATAGACAGACAGACTGAGTTGATATAAAAAAAAAAGAGCGAATGTTTGAATCGATTCACTCACTCAGACCGCAGATCTATATAATATAAAGAACTTGAGGTTTATGATTCAGACTTAACAATGCAGTTTTTTTTGTTTCTCATTGTATGCCAACTCTGAGTTTGTCGTTACCTTGGACTTATCCTCCTCAACCTTAGACCGAATGGCTGTCACCATCTCGTCAACAGGTTTCCTCACGTGATGTAGACCACACACACCGCCCACCTGTCTGTGACCTAAATATTTAGCTACAAACACTTGAGGGAGCTTGTCTACGACCACTGCAGCAAACTCAGATCTGAAAAAAAACACCAACAACACAAGTTAGGCCTCAGATTTAAGCAAAAAACAATAACAAACAAAACTTTCAGAATTGTTAAAATCAAATATTTTGTTTCACATTAGACCATTGTAAACTGTAAGTACTAATCGGCTCAAAACAAAATGTCAAGCAATGAAGACACATTAGGCTAAATTTAATGTTCCTTGTTATCTTATCTTATCTTATGTAATACAGAGGTTACTTCAAAAAAGAAGATGATTACGTCCTACGCGTCATGCATTTAGTCATGCATATTAACCAATGACTTAATTTCTGCCAAGTCACTAGTTTTTCTGGCTAGCTCAGGCAACCCATTCCATACTCTAATAGCACTAGGGAAGAAGGAGTATTTGTACAAATTCGTCCTAGCATAGGGGACAAGGAATGTGCCTTTATTTTTGTGTCTTTCAGAGTATTTTATTAAGTTTTGTTTTTGTATTTGAAGATTATGGTTCAGTGTTTTATGTATAATTGCTACTTTACTTTTGAGTCTTCTGTCCTGAAGGCTTTCTAAATTTAGTGATTTTACTAATGGTGTTACTCTAGTCAAATGGGAATATTCGTTTGTTATGAATCTCACTGCTCTATTGTGTGTTTGTTCCAGTTTCTTAATGTTTTCTTGAGTTGAGGGGTCCCACACGGTGGATGCATATTCTATTATTGGCCTAACCAAGGTTAAATAACATTTTAGATTTATGTTCTTATTTGATTTATAGAAATTTCTTTTAATAAACCCTAATGCTTTGTTGGATTTTTTTGTAGTTTCATCAATATGTGGATTCCATGACAGTTTTTCATTTATTATAACACCTAGGTATTTTGAGTTTTTAGTCTGTGTTACTGGTTTGCCATGAATAAGATAAGTGGAATTAATTTGTTTTAGTTTTTTTGTTACTCCTAACAACTGACATTTTTCTGGGTGGAAAGACATGCTCCAATTTGATTCCCATTTCTGTAATTCATCTAATTCTCTTTGTAAAATATCTGTGTCTTGTGTTGTTTTTATTGTTCTATATATTATGCAATCATCTGCAAATAATCTGACTTTTGTTCCTGAACTAATGCAATTTGGTAAATCATCTATGTAAATTAAAAATAGTAGTGGACCCAAAACTGTTCCTTGAGGTACACCTAGTTTACTGTTATTGGTTTTTTATTTAAACACTTATTGTTGCATCTGAGAATGTCCTCTATGGTGGAAAACTATAGGCCTAAAAAGCCGTTTTTGTTGTGTGAGTCCAGTTGTTTCCCTAACCTACATACTATCGTTAACGTTGATAGGCAGTATTTTGTTTCCTTAAGATAATTTTTATTTTTTAGCAGTCCACTCCGGGGTTAAGTTTTCTAAGTTCTTTCGTTTGTGGCTCAGTGTTTAACAAAATTTTAGTTAGCATCTTGTCGTTATGTAGTTTATAGTGGACATTCAAAATAATAATAGCTTTAAATGTAACAAGAAAACATTCACAACCGATACATAGGAAAAACATAGAAATACTTCAAATTTCAGCACTTGTAATACAAATTTCATAGCAAATATTTTGTTCCTTTTCAAACATCTTTCAAACATATATTATAGTTTTAAAAGTTAGTCATTTTATACCAAGAAAAGTATAACATCACGTAAGAGCTGTACAGGTTCTAAAAAAAATATAAAGTTTTTTTTTTAAAGGACCCTACTATTTCTGATCTGACTGAGAGTAAAAAAAAATCTGATGACTTTCACCGTCTCGTTCGAAGCTTTGTATCGTCTGCCACTTACTGATACACGTTTGGGATTGAATTGAATACCTCGGTGTTAATTCTGAAGGATCATCCAAAACATGTAAAACAAACAAATCAGTTTTGATGTTATTTACCTAAAATATTTTTTTAAAGCGTAGGCCTACTATCAATAACATTCAATTTTGTGTGTGTATGTGTGCATATTCAACATGATAATACAATTTAAATTGATC